CCGCCAGCCGCCAACCCCCCCCCCCTCTCCTCTATCCACTCTCTACCACCCCGAAAAAAACACAACGGGGATCCATACGTGCAGAGAGGGGTTACAAACAGGAGAGGAGATGGCGGGGGAGAAGCAGAGACGAATGAAGGAGAGATGAGAGAGGAGGTGAAGGAGTTGCAGACAGAGAAAGAAAACGTATTGAGAATCAGACAGATAAAGATGGAGACTGAGTGACTAAGTGCATAAAAAGGCCTCAAAAGAGAAAGAGAAGAAGAAACTTAAGAGCGGGAAGAGAAAAAAATAGTGAAAAAAAAATAGAGTCAGACGAAACACAACTTTGGAATTTGAAAAGAAAACAATGGAAGCAAACCCAGCTTCTGTCTGGTATGAGCTATAGAGGAGATGCCCAGTAAGATGGGCTCATCCACATTTTTAAATACCCTTGGTGTAGTTGTTGGCTGCATATAACATTAACCCCCTAAAAACAATTTTCCCTTTATCAGCATGCAAATGAGAATGAACACAATTCAAAGTTTGAACCAATATAATCACTCCATCTTGGGGTTAATTGAACTGAGTGGGGAAGTGGAAGTGAAAGTTCAGAAGAAGCAGCAGAGGTAAAATGTACAAAGCCCAAGTGGTTGGGGGTACTCAGGGCGAGCCAGCCATGCAAACACAGACACAGACCCGAATGTGCACACAGAGACGCCTCTTCCCCAACCCCTCCTCCCCTCCTTCATTTTTCCAGGCCTTGCTCTGACTGCGACTTGAGCCAGTTTCCACTCTGGTCTGGGGTGTGGTGCACGCTCCTGGGAGACTTCGACTGCAGGACCAGTTAGTCAAAACAAGGCCTGAGCGCTAGCCAGAGGGACAGAGAGAGGCAGAGATACATAGAGAGTGACAGAAAAAGATAGAGGGAGACGGAGTGGGAGAGAAAGAACCACTGAGTAGAAAGGGTAAGACAGACAGAGAAAGAGAGGAGAAGGATAGAACGGAGTCGTGGACTGTTTTTAACCTGGAGTCTGAGCCAAGGAGAGAGACCCAGACAGGGTAAACTTTTTATACCCGTAATACAGGTGCTTTAAAAGCCATCTGTGTGAGGAAGGAGCCATAAGAGGAGGAGAATGATGGCAAAGTACAGGAGTTAGACACAGTGAGGAGACAAGCAATGGGGCACTACAACAATGCTGCACACATAACCATACTCATGCATATGCAAGGGAAACAGTTATGTGCAGTATGAAGGACAGAATTACATCTCTCATTATTATTTTTTTTCTTAAAGGGGAGCAACTGAAATTGAAGGTTGTAAATCTAAGACAGCTTTTGCACATAATGGCGCACTTTGTTGTTGTGTTGCCACTTTGACGTGGCAGCAAAATAAATACATTCACAGAGGTGAATCATCATCTTTCCTCATTCACTGAGAAGCAGCGGAGAATATGAGTGTCATTGCTGCAAGTTACAAAATTCCAAAATTTCATAGCAGCGCCACAAACAGAGGCTAACAGTAAAAAAGGTACAAAGACTGATGAATGCTCGAGAAAACTATATTAAACATTAACACTAAGATAATACTACATACAATATGCATATGCTTTCCAACATGCACAACCAAAAGCAATGTAAATGCATGTTGTCACACTGCACTAAGACATCTACAAACCCACAAAGACACTGTCCACAGGCAAATAGAAGACACAGACTTCAGATACACAGTCACACACACACACACACACACACACACACCTACGCACGCACCTACGCACACACACCCTTTCATAGCTGCTGCATTCCGTGTTTTATATGCTCTCTTTTATTCATAACATTGCATTTTACACCACAGAGTCTGGAGCAGATTAAGGGTTGTCTCCTGCTGCATGCTCGTGCTTACTCTACCCCAAAGAGCCTGAATGGTATTTGACTGTTCTCTAAAGGCAATATGAAGTTGAACATCTGGCAATGCTGATCTGAGAAAATGTTGATAAAGTCTTCTCCTGCAACAAGACTTCTTTTATTGTTGAGTCACAAACTCACTTATTTATTTACTTCACATTTTTCTAACTTTTTTAACTCTTTGTATCAAAGTGACATTGTGTAATATTTAATGTGGTTGATACATTTTAGGGTGAATACAAACATTTCAGAGAAAAATTATTAATTTGAGACTGGGTGGGTGTCATTCTGATAATGCATTGTATTTCTTAATTCTTGAAAAGTTACCCTGTTTGAAACAGAGGCTTTTCTCAGATAAAAAATGCACATTGACTGGGATCACGGGACACAACTAGGCACAGTCACTGTTACAGGAGCCCATAATAGAAGCCACGTCTTGTGAAAGGGAAATGCTGTTGAAGGGAGTGACCCTCTAATCCTGCCAGTCCAAACACCTGGCACTGAGAACCAGGAAGACCGGGGTCGGGGGTGACAGAGCAGAATCTTATCTGGCCGGCCCATTGGCCTATTGGTATGGAAGCTGGGCGAGAACAAGTACACGGCCTGCTAGCGCTCAACACAGGGGCAGATAGAGAGAGGCCGAGGGCATTCTCGGACACTTATCAGACCTAGTGTTTCCTCTCCTTCTGCCTTGATAGGGGCCCTCATCCTGTGAGAGAGGCTATCACTGTTATTGCAGTCCTTTCTCCCATCTCTGGTGGTGACAACATATAGACGATGTAAAGGATGTGTAGCCTTTTTTTCCCTTTTTTTTTTTACAGATAGTGCAGTGCAGCCTTCGCCTAGTTCATGTTGTATCAGCACAAAATAATGTCTGTAGAGTGAAAAGGTATCCAGAGGAAAGAGACAATCATCCTGAGCTGCAGTGGGCGTTGGCTTTTGCAAGAATTTTACTAGTGAAACATTACATCTTTTGACTGCTGCATTTCAGATTTGCCAATGTTAACACTGATTCAATGAGCAAATGTATATTATATTATGTAAGATTGACAGTTATATTCTTTCAGTTAAGACACCAATCAGCTCACATGATACAAACACAACAACATGTCTTTTATGCCTGCAGCCATGCCTAAAACTCTCACTAACAAACACATGACAAGTCTCCAGATAAGGTTCTTCCTATTTGTTTCAGGTAGTGTGCCTCTTACGAAAGAAAGACAGAATAGTTCAAATAATATCAAGAAAATGCCTTTAATGTAATTTTTGAGTACTTTTGATTTTTGTTCAAAACATGTGGAATAACCTCAACTAATAAACTGATTTTTGTTCTTGCTGTGGTACATTCAATCTTTTTATCCTGCATCCACTGTACCACATGTTAGGATTGGACTACTGACTAATGTGTTTCATAAACAGTGAGAGTGACAGTAATCTCATAAACACAGTGTAACTACTAGAGATGGATTATGTAGTGCGAAATGTGTAAAAAGTGCAAAATGACAAGAAGTCCCTCCTACATATACTGTACGGATACGCTCCCTTTCCCTTTCTGCCATCCTGTCCACCCATAATTCACTTATACACACACACATAAACTCCTTTCCACTCCAGTCTGGTCTGAAGCAGCCAATCAGGATTCTTCTGCCATATTTGCAGTTCATATTGTTGCTTCAGCACCTGTCTCTGATGCCTGTCTCTTCAACAAATAACCTCATTCACATGTCTTATGTCTAGCTTCTTTCCCATAATCATCACATTCACCGTCTGTTGTCACTGCTGCTGCTGTAGATGGAACTCATCAACACACTGCTTTTGTCTTCTTGTTAATATGCCTCTATTCTGAGGTCACCCCTCTGAGCTACTATGTGTTGTCACAGCGTTCAGGTAGCGGTTCTGAATTGGCACAGCTTGGCTCATATTATTTTTAACGACACAAAAGATGCACCTGCACAGAGCTTTGTCAGTGACTGCATGTGCTTTGGATTTGTGTGAGAGGTCTGTATTCTCAAGTGTGTGTGCTCTTTGTGTGTCTATCTTGTTTGAAGCTGACCGGTACCGTGCTGTTTTTTTCTTTTTCTTCCATTCTTCTCTTTATCATTAGCTAGTCTGACAATCTCACCTTGCTTCCTTGATATGACAGCTACATCAACACACATGGATAAATATTAGGATAAAGCATAGAGAATTTAAAGGAAATGTGTCCCTACCTTCTTTGGCAGCCAGGCGTGGGGAAGGGTCTGTGTGAGATGGCGTATTGTAGGATAATGATGAGCTACCTGTAATAAAATGAGACAAAAGAGAGTATAGTAAGACAAAAAAAAAAGTCTATTCCACCAGTCCCATAATGCACGAAGACAAATTAATTACCTAATTTTCATTAATTATTACAGAGCACCCAGTGATTAACAGCACACAGTATGCATTATTAAACTTGTAAGATATTAGCATTTGTATTAGTGTTTGGTTTCGAATAAGAGATCTTATTCATATAACATAATAACAGATACAAATCTGTATATTAATCATGCTACATTGTCTGTAAGGGAAACTGTAACTCTAGTGTACCACTACCCTGAAGTCTGTGTGACAAAAAGTTCAGAAGGTGCAACAATAGCCAGCAGGTGGCAGTAAAAGGTTCAGCTTAATTACTGTGGAGCAGCACCATAGAGCCCTTTTCATTTCTCAAACTGTGTTCCTGTTTTGTCTTAAAAAATAATCTCGGATGGAAAATAATTCAAGACACATAAATCTAGTCCCAAATAAGAGCCAATCCAGCACACAGTCAGTCCTTTAAATGTAGGAAAAAACCCTGTTGCCTGTCAGCATTTTAACTGCAAACCCTACTCCTGAATAATAAAGTCAGAGAGGCAAGACTCTGCATATGGCTTCCTATTCATTTCACCTTATGGAGCAGAACTCTGCGCTGCATTCCTCCACTTACACAGGCACCCTGGGCGGCACCAAAATGCTCTCTTAATTTTAGCTGCCCCCAGGCATAAATCAGCGAGTGGAAAAACAGACCCAAAAATGCACAGAGAAAACACAAGAGCAGCTACTACACGGGGAGTGTTAAGATTTAGCACTGAGATGGCTACAGAAAGCTGCTGAGTAGGGAAGATACCTTTTCTGAATTTGGCGATCTGAAAAGGAACAAAAGACTGAAAAGCCCAAAGCAAAATAAAATTTTTGATGTGTTTTTCTTGAGATGCAGGATCCTTACCTAACTCGCTGAAGGGGCCCATGGTGGCAGACTAGGGGTCTGTTTTTTTAAGGGGTGGTTGGGGAGGGAGTGGGTGGGGTGGGGTGGGGTGCTCCACAAATGTATTCTAACCTCCCAACACCCCACCCCTCCCATTACTACCTACTCCACGGCACCCCCAAGGCTCTGGGTCTCGTTTAGAAACCTGGGGGCCTCAGAACAGGGGAGCCATTGTATGAGGCAGGGTCCCTGCACAGCAATCAAACGCAGCTCCCCGTACAAAAATAATTCCACACGCAGAGTGTAAGCGGACAGGGGCAAGCGAGCAACCAAAGCACCATCTTTGGAATGGGGGAGAAAGTGTAAGAGAAAGATGAACAGACGGACAGAAAAAGAGGGAGCGCAGGGAGGAGGAAAGGGGCTGTTAACCCTTTTCCTACTGTGTGCCACATATGTGGGCTGACCCAGACAGGCAAACAGGCAGCATTGCTGAGAAAACCTCAAAACCATCCCACAGAGAAATTCAGGACTGCTGTAAGAGAGAGAATGAGAGAGGGAGAGAGAGACACCACAGCTGACAGTTTGGTGGAAGGAGTCTTGGCTGTGCTGGCTATTTATTTGGACGACTTCTTCCTCTCTCAGAAAACAAACATGTCCCGGTAATCTGACAGCACAGTGGGAGGACTGGCCAGTGTTCGGCCTTTAAGACCCTCACTCTCTGTTTCCCTCACCAGTCACATCTGCTCGCAGTCTGCTAGATTACATAACATCCACAAACAATTTTCTTTTCTCTCCTTCCTATGACTGATGGCTCTTTCAAAAGGCCCTGTCCTCCAGTTTGGCATGCCCATAATATTGACAGAGATCTTTACAGGCTTGTTCGGCATTGTAATTGACCTCCATCGGGCCTCTGCTGTTTATTCTGTAGAGCTATATGATACCACTGCCTCAAACATGTGGTCTGAGCTTTGTCAACAAACTGAGGGTCCCAGTCACCTAGTTTTGGGCATCTTGCCACCTCAAGGGAGGCAAATAGACTCCAGCCAACAGTAAGTCATACTTTTAGCTCTATAGGATAAAGCTGCACTGAGTAGCCCCACAGACTATCTTCATACCAGCCGTACATAGCGCACGTGAGAAATTTCCAAAACGTCCTCCAAACCAAAAAAGATTATTTGCCCCTGCCTTCCAAAACAACCCATGTGAACGTTTTCTCAGCTGATGGACCCAAAAAAATAACAAAATAAGATTACTTGTTGCCAGTACTTAAAAAATCACTCATTGAAAAGGAATTCACATAACTTTATTTATCACGTTTAAATACAACATTTCCACAGACTGTGTCCTACTGTTCTAATCTTACGAGGTAGCTGGACAAGATCACGTGAGAAACCATCTTGCCAGGTTTCAAGCTATGTGCTTGTGTCTGAACACTGTGGATATGAGCCAATCAGCATCCTTTGAGGAACTACTGGCAGCGACAACATGAGCTACGGGTATAGTTTAATGCTAGGTATGTGTGTGACGATGCGTGGGAGAAATGACTATTTGCTCAAAGAACTAAAATAGCGGCTGCTAAAGAGGTTAGCGTAGATGCTGCTGGAATCAGTTATATCAGCACTGGAGAGTATTTCTTCATGAGAGGAGAGAAATGGAAAAGATGTTTCTGCTCTTGTCCCCACTGGCTTCGGTAAGAGTTTGACTTTGTTACATGGTTCGTTGGTTGAAGTTCACCTGTGATAGACAGCGATGGTTCATCCAATCACCTGCCAAAGATTTTTTAAAGTGCCTGCCCTTTTCCAGTTTCATAATGACAACTTGTTGCTTTTCAACAACAGCACAACAAACACTTTCCTCCTTTGCTGTATAAGCTGCCACATAACAGGCAAAAACAATTGTATTTCACTCATAAGGTTTACACTGAGAAGTCTACATGACCGAGCGCCAAAGTTACAAATGGTGCTATATCCAACCCTAAACAAAACCAGGTGATTCCTGAATGTAGGCTTACTGGTGTTTAATGTTAGCAGGCCAGTTATAAAGGCAAAACATTTAAATGAGACAATTCTGGAGTTACCCAGGATCACAATTCGCCTTCAGTTACCAAGCTATAATGACCCAGCCCCGTCTGTAAACTGAAAGGAGACCAAATCTTTCAATAAACTTCCCAGTAAGACAGCGAACAAACCTTATAAGGTTAGGGAAAGTACATTTGTTTTATTTAACACTAGAATGGCCAATGGCCAATTTGAATAATTCTTATTTTTCAAACCACACCATAGTTTTGACAGTATAAAGTCTAGCTCAAATTAATTGTAGCGGGTGGGGGTTAATTTAATGAGTCATGTCAGGCGCTCAACTCCCAGGATATATCAAATATCTATAGTAAATACTGTATGAAGTCATGTCTCCCCTAAAATGTTTTGTTAAAGACTTGCCTTAGTCTCGGGGCGTATTTCAGCAGCACAGACACTTCTGAATAATCATATAAATATTACATAAATATGATAGGAATGCTACAAACAACTGTGTGTCTATGATCTTCTTACTTTTCCGCAACGATATGTTTCTACTTCTTTCTTTGATCATGAAGGTGACACTACTCTATAGAGTATAGAGTATATGAGCTATAATATAAAATGTAGTATTTATAGTATATAGTTGAGATAATATTATAGATCCAAGAGGAAACTGACCATCAGACAGTCCTTCACTCAATGCACAGAGCAAGTCTAATGTCAGATTTTTCATTAATAATAGATCATCTCCACTTATCCATTTTGAAGGTTGTCCTATGACATATGATGCAGCTCTATTACTGTAGTAGACAAAAAGCATTGCCTATAGCAAAATATAATGGTCATCTTTGTGGGAAAAAAAGCAAAATAATTCCTGGTCTGTGACTGGGCATTAACTCACATATGGAATTCAAATGCACTACACACCCATCCCACCCCATGACCTCCACTTTACTTTCCGCCTTGCTGTGTAAAGGGCACTCTACTTCCTGCATTGGCACTGAACGTTGGCATTGGACATAAATCTCGGGGTGCGGAATTGTCCAATATGAACATAATTCCTAGGGACGTTGGGCTGGTACTTGGGTATTTAAGGCTGTCCTCACCAGAGAATGACATAATGGGTTGTTCGCAGAAGGACAGAACATGTGCGGAAGAAGAGTTATGTTGTTACAGCAACAAGACCTTTTTGTAAGGTTGTGGTGGAGGGATGGATCAACAAAGTATTGGAACATCCCATCCTCTACCTAATGTTGTTTTTCATTTGAGGACCATGATGGAAACCTTCCTAACCTTGACCAAATGGTTTAGAGGAATAACCTTAAAGGCCGTAGTATGCTCAAAAAATACCAAATGAAACAAGCTAACGATTCTTATTTTCAGGTGATAATACACTAATTAAAACATAGCTATGAATATTATATTAAATGTCCACCAACAGATCCTTCTAAATGTTACACATTGGACCTTTAACATTAAAAAACACCATTGACTGAAATCCAAGCTTTTGCAGAATTGCTGCATATCATATCTTTAACTGCCAATTGGGTTGAAAGTACAATTATAATGGACCTCTAAGTATCTTGCTTAAATTACAGCTGAACTCATCCCAGTGTTTACATGAATAGCAACTGCTTATTATCCACCTCCACTTATGCTAATGTGATATGTACATAAATTCCTGTAGTGCTAAGCGTCTGAACCCCAGCAGTCAAGTGAGCAGCCGCAAACTGCTCTGTAATGGTGGCTAACAGCAGACAGCTAACAGTAAAGGGCGCAGAGCCAGCCCGTTGAGCCCCTCTGCACCAGTGATAATCTGCCAATAGAAAGAACTAATGCAAGGGGAGCTCAATAAAAATGTTGTGAGGGGAGAAAGAGGAAAGAGAGAGAGAGAGCGAGAGAGAAGATGCTCTCCCCAAGACCCTCCTTTTTCCCCACCAGCCCTTCCCGAGCCCGAGATGTTTATGGCTGTATAAACATTTGATGGGCTCCGAGAATGTCCCCACACTCATGGAGCAAGCAGCAGCAGTGGCAGAAGCGCCGACTATCTCCCTCTCATCTCTTCCGTCTCTCCCTCTCGCCTCTCCCTCGCTCTCTGCTCCTCTTTCTCTCCTCCGAGTCTGACTCCCCTCCCCACCTGAAATGCCATCCATCCAGACACACAAGCAGCGGCGACAGCTGGGAAACAGAACTATTGCTATTCTCCAACGGCACTCAATCATGACCACCTCGGACCGCTTCCACACACTTCTGAAAAATAGTTCACCCCCCCCCCACAATTTTTTTTTTTCTATCTCACACTCGCTTTCTATAACTGTTTCTCTTGCTCACACCCCCCTGCCCTTGTCCTCAAATAACTACTGCAAAATCTATATCTCAAGGATGCATTTCTTCATCCAATTTCTACGATTATGTTTCTTTAGATGCACAGTAGCTTTGCTCTCAACTCTCTGTCTCGTTACTTTCCATCCTCACTCCCTCTCCCCAGTTTAATTTCTGCCTTTTTCCCTTTTCTCTTCTCACATCTCTGTGTGTCAGAGGATACAGCTTTTCGTTGTCTGAGGTTTTTTGCTCTGCTCTGCTTCCAGCACATGTGGTATCAAACCGACCTACATGGGTGCGATAAAGCAAACAGTCCGTGGTCCCTCCCTGACAGACTAATTTGAACAAATTCTCAAATTGCACCCCAAATTGAAAGCACATTGGGGTGCGGGCGGCCATCACTTATAAAAATCTGGATAAGTGACCAACAATGAGGCCAAAATAATGCATGGGCAACAACCCTTGTTACTGCGAGCAGCTGGGTAGCCAGACAGATGTTCAGATTGTGCCCGCGGTTGCACCAGTGTGGGTGTCTGAGCGATATTTCTGCGCATGACGTGGCAAGAATGTTTTGTTATGGTATGGCTGTAGGGTGGGGAAGTGTGTCCTTGCCCCGTGCTGAGTGTACATACAGGGCTTAATGACTATGAGGAATGTTAATCAGAGGTTCAATAAACAGAACTGAAGGCACACAGGATGCACACAGATGTGTATTAAATTATTGCAGTAAACCCTTGGACCATCCATTTTTTTTGAAGGAGGATGGGGGATAGCCTAATACAGGAGAGTTTGGGGGAAGACATCACATGATCACTAATACTTCCAGGGCTTGGCTCAGTCTATCCCTCCCTTTCTCTTTTTCTGTATTCTAGAAGCTCGGCCCAGCTCCAGCTCTCGTGAGTGAAGCCAGAGGTCTATTTTCTGGACGGGGTTACTTCTCGTCTATGATTGTGTTTGTTTGTGCTGCGGGGGGAAAAGAAAGAATGGCTTTAGTTTCCAAATCATCAGCCCTGCAGGGTCTGTATAAAGCCTCAGCCCTCCTCCTCTTCCTCCTCCTTCTCAGTATTCCTTAGACATTCATTTACTAACATGGTTCCTCCTGCCCTTAGGCTCCCAGTGTCAATAATACACACTGCTCGCTTCTCAGAGAGCTGCCCCAAAACAGGTCAGTCAGTCCAGGCACGGGACGGGAGCATTCATCTTTTTGATTGTCGGGAACGGATCCAAAGCAATTTCAACTGGCAAGTGAAAAGGATTCCCGAGACATCTCTTCTGTCTCCAAAAAACACAAGGTCTAAATCAAAAAAAGGGCAGCAATGGGCAGAGTCGTGGTGCAGCACGCCTAAGCCGTGGCTAAGTCCCGCAGCCAGTGGCCATAATGAAAACTGCTCTGCGGAGTGTGCCCAGTGGCGGTCAGACAGATCCACCCGCTGCAGCGCTGCACAATGAGGCTGTTATACTCATGACAAGCATCTCTCTCTGCCCAGACGCTGTGCATAGAGAAAACTGTTGACACCCACAAAATACAGTTCCCATTACATCACGCTGAGGCACATCGCATTTTTTTGGGAGTAATGTTAAATTTAGTTGAGCCATCAGTCACTCCACCCAACGTGGTGTCAGTTTATTCTGCAGCAGCAGCAGCAGCAGCAGCAGCAGAGGCAGCTCTCACTATTTTAAAGTACAGAATACAAATAATTCAAAGATGGTACAAACTGTTCTCAGTATGTCCAACAATCACATTACTCATGATCTGCTTATTTTTATAGTAAACAGTGGACATAGCTATTGTCTGAACTAGACATCACCGTGTATTCAAGCCAGCAGCCATGCCAGATGTTACATCTTACATTAGAAAGTAATTTGCATACTGCCTCAGAAAATTGGCTTTGTTTCCCCGCCGAAACATATGAAACAGGATTGCACCGAGGAGCTCTTCAAAGGTAAGAGGCTCAAATTTAGTTGCCTCCATTGCAAATTGCAGATCAACTTTCTTTGCTGTGCTGAACACATAGGCCTAGCGTGATTCCTGAGGCAATGCACCTGGGCTTCATCTTTCTGGACCATGTGGAATAAGGCGCTGCAAAGTCAAGTGGGGGATGTAGTTGATGGTTATCTTGAGAAGGGAAAGAAACCCTCTTGGTTTCCACAGCTCTGATAAATACTGGGTAGCCATTATGGAGAAATGAGTTTCCAGTAAAAGCCATTTCATTGTTTATTGATGGTAATGTGAGTATAGTGCGGTGACACAAAAAAGTGTCATGTTGTTTGCCTGGGTTTGGCATTTTTTCACTCTCACTTCTCATCCAAAAACAGAGAAAACTATATTAAAAGAGGCGTGTGTCTTGAAAGTTGAGTTTGACTTCCATTCTTTGGCCAAGATGAATGCCAGTGCAGACTTCAACTTAAGCACAAAAAGCAGGATGTACGGGGGAACACCAAGAGCGCAGTTCACTTCACAACGGTCCTTTTACTTTCCTTATGCTGTCAACAAATCTGAATATCTTCAGTATTCTGAACCTTTTTTTATTTTTCTGTTCTTTTTTTAAAATCCCAACAAATTTTACTGGAGTCCAATATTTCTTCCATTAACCCATTAACTGGTTATCTTACATTGATTATCTGTTTATTCTTATGCTTAAGTTGCACAAAGCGTACTTACTTTCCCTGAGGTAATTGAGATGAGAGAGAAGCACTTCGGCATTGTACATGGTGGTGAGCCGGAGGAAGTCGTCCTTGCCCATCTTGCAGAGCTCTTTGCCGTCTGTGTTCTGAAACATGGCCGTGTCAATCTCTAACAGGCCGTACTCCTTGATGGCCCACTCAAGCCACTGGCGCACATGGTCATGGGACCACAACGACGGGTCTGCAGGAAGACGGAAGAAGAAGAAACGAGGATGTTTAAATTTTAAAATTCAAATTCAATAAAATGTTCAATTTGTTGGCATGACATTTGACATGTTGCCAAAGCACAAAAAAAATAAAAAAGATAATGAAATAGATAAATGTAATGGCATAATAGATATAATATATAAGTAATCAAGTTATGATTCAATTAAATCAAGTTATTAAAAAAAAACAATAAAACAAATGGAGATGGTGACAGTAAGTATAATATATTGTATATTATAACTGTCTGCCTTTATATCTATGTGGCCATGGTTATCTCTTTTTTGTGGCAGGAAGCAACTCCATTACAGTTGTTTCTGGACGCACACCAGGGAAGACACAGTTGGGAGTTGTGTCTGACCAACAAAAAGGAAGAGGGCAAAATGAACAAATTGGAAACAGAATTCTGTATCAGTAGCAGACCTTGTTCGGATACCTGTAAATATAGTCTTATTTTAACCACATGGACAGGGTTTGCCTGAGTGGGATGACTCATATTAGGTTTCAGGTGAATAATCTTTTACAGAATAGTATTCTCTACTCTAAATTATGTCTCTACTCTGAAATCCCTTCCTGTGATTGTTCAAACGTTTCAGTATGTTTTCCATTGTCCCACATGGAAACAAAGTGAACTAAAACTAAGAGATTTTTGAAAGTACTACTTGACCCTAGTCTGGTATACTGCACATCCAAACTTACCACTAACGGTTTAGGAGTGGCCTCTATGTGGAGCTCCTATTAGATTAATAGATGAGTGGCTGTTTGCATCAGTTTAGCTCTGACACTTGAATAGCCTTTAAAATGGAAAATTTACCAAGGCACCATTCGATTTTAATTAAGTGAATCACATGTGCTCATTTTTGGGAAAATAGTGTCATTCTCTTTGGCACTCTGGCTTAAGCAAAACAACATAATCAACTTATGCATTAAAATTACTTTTCTAAAGGCTATAACCCTGAAACTGCACTTGTTACTTCCTAAACTGTATTATTTCACACGCTGAAAGTACAAATTCGTGAGACCAGTGAAGAAATATAAAGGTCTGGCAGACAAACAGACATCTCCACCTGCACAAATTCTGCCATGCTCCCATGAGTGACATAAAACACTGCAACAATGCTTTACCCCATGAACCAACTAAATAGAAATGGGACTCATAAAACATTTACAGCATTGGCAAAATTCTGCCAAAACAGAAGAGTGATTCTCTTTGTAATCCAAGCAGCAACCCAGAAAAAAAACACCTAGAACAATTCGCACCTGTGTAAATATCCAGTGAATAAACAAATTCATTTCATTTTAAGAACACACACATATTCAACCATATCCATCTCATGTCAGATTATATGCAGCTTTAAGCTAGTTTTACCTGCAGGTACAATGACTCTCCGCTCATTGGTGGTCATGTTGGGGGGAGGGGCATTCTTCTCATCCATGTAGTTTCCATAGTTCATCTGTGATGTGTCGTTACCCCCCACCAGCTTATTACATTTACCCACACTGCAGTCCACTGGAGACTCCCTGCTACACAAATACACACACACAAGAAAGTTGCAAAAATATTATCAGCAGACAAATTGGGTGTTGTTGGTTTTTCTTTTCCCGTCATTGACTTTGGCATGAAATATTTAAGTCCTACACTGGCCAGGGCCAAGTATATCGAAGTTTAGAAGCCAAAAGTGAAGGTTAGTTGTGGTAAAGAAATGACCTGTTGAATGACTAAATAAGATAAGATAAGATAA